ATATATATATATATATATATATATAGTATTTTATATATTTATATATAATTTATACATGTTACATATGTATAATTGAAGCTCCTCTACATATTTATATTTTAACATGCGTATACATATGTATGTTACAATTTCAGGATACGGACCATTTTGAAACGGTGGATCTCTTTATAATTATCGAGAACATTTTATGAAGACAATATCAATGTATAATATATTTTAATATTTGCTATATAATTGTGACGACCTATTGGATAATAAATTTTTCAATTATTTTTTACTATATTAGATATACATTTAAAATTTTACTGTATTAGAGAATGTATAATGAAGCTATTCCAAGTAGCACACAGCGCTTACAAAATGTTAACAAAGCGCTAAAAAATCACATACAATCCTTTTTTTTTAGCGCTTTACAAGTGCTGCTGTGCTACTTGGGATATATCCACGATGCCAGAAATTGTTTCGAGATCTCAAACCGAGAAAGAGTTGGCCAATTGCATTGATCAATTGATCGAATTGTTCGAACGTGATTTGTTAATTCCTTCTCCGTCTATGATCTCGGAGCAATTTCATCGAGAATATAAGGCTTTAAAATGAATATTATACTGCTTGAATTGAATAATTGTTCATAGGTGTGTTTGCGTTGTTTGAAATTCTCAAGAATTTTGGCACTTAAAAAGATGAAGATTGAGATAAATATATATTTGAGCGTTGAAGGGAGGGAGAGAGAGAGAGAGAGAGAGAGAGAGAGAGAGAGAGAGAGAGAGAGAGAGAGAGAATAAAGATGCAAAAGGTGCAAGCAACACAAACAGATCTAGTTTTGTATAGCTTCACATAAAGTTTACACGAAATATAAATAATATAATAACAATAATATAAAATATATATAATTATATTATATTATATTATATATTATATAATATATAATTTATATATACAATTTTTTATATAATATAGAATATTATTATGGAAGCATATATTATTGTATATAGTTATACATATTAGGGAGTTTTTGCAATACCGTTTATTCAAATACGATGAACACTAAGGTCAGTTATCTTCTTCTTAATAACTGTTTAAGAAAAGGATAATATGACTTTGCGTTCACCATATCTGGATTCTTTATTTCAAAAACTCCCTATTGTTCTTATATTTGATGCAGGAATTTATAATTAGTACCTACTATGCATTCTGTAAATAGAATTGAGATGTTACATATAAGAGATTTCAATAGATTAAAATTTTTTTTGTTTAGAAAAATCCATCTTTATAATACAGCACCACCAAATGAGATATTAGGGAACATAGGGAGTTTTTGCAATATCGTTTGTATCATGGTAGAAAGAAACAAAGTAAGCCATTGCGCATAATGACAGCAAAGGCTGGAAGACATGATTTGTCAACCAATTACGGGGGATCTTTTTTATACGCACAATGCTTACAGATGATTACTATTAAAAACACACAGTATTGAAGTTAAAATAACAATGATATATTAATAAAAACTATTAAAATATAAAAATATTATAAACTTTAACATTATTATTAAACAGAAATGAGATTGCACCAATGTGTCAAAACAAAGAGAAACCTGAGAGAGGACATAGCGGCTCAAAACCTGTGACCCCAAAATGCTGCCGCGCACTACTGTCTCTCTGACAAAGTGTAAAGGCTTAAACACAATAAGCACAGACAACAGAGAATAACGAGCCGTCTAATCAGAACTGTGTAATACTATATCTCAGAGCTCTGATTGGACAGCTCGTTATTCCTTGTTGCCTATTTTCTTTAAGCCTTTATTGTTATAGAAAGTGTGTGTGGCCTAGTTTCCACTGTTTAAAACGAATCATAATGTAACCAACCAACTACAGTCGAGTATTCCTCTGTTATAATCGAACGACAGGAGAATGCTCGAATGTAGTTAGTTGGTTCTTACATTCTGGGTATCAATCATGAACTTTATCCCTAGGATGGAAAGTGAAAATTTGAAAGTGAAACTAATGAAATTATCAGTAATTTTAGTAAAGTCGCTCACTTTTATAATTTTCAAATACACAATCGAGTCAGGAACTCGATGCATCTTGAAATGAGATGAAAATTACAAAGGTGAGCGAATTTACTAGAATATTGATAATTTCATTGGTTAACTCCTAGTAAATTTACTTACTTTTGTAATTTTCACCTTGTTTGAAGATACAGAATCAACCACCTGATCCGGTTTAAACTCTCCGTGGAAACTAGGCCTGTTACTAGCTTTAGAGTGAGTATATAGGAGCTATGGTAGGAACATGTTGAAGCATGTTGCAACGCAAACAAACCTGTAGTGTTGTATCGACGATTACGGCAATTAGTGTAATTGAGTGCAAATCGGTATCATATTTTTGATGTTAAATAATTTAATTCTTTTAAGGTTATGAGATTGTTACAACAAAAAATATATAACTAAAAGAGTTAAATTATTTATTAACATTGAAAATATGAATGAATTAATTTGCTACGTTTGTGTCAAGGTGTGTTAAGGATTAATTGGAAAGTATTCAGCCTGTATCGGAATACGGCCAAGTTGAAGGGGTGCGTGTATCGGTGGTCTCTGTTTGTGGAACAGTTTGGAATTGATCCATTGCTTTTACACTGTTCTGCACTTTAGTGTGCTTTCACTAACTACGACTGTAGTCTGTGGTTATCAATCGAGCGTTTTGAGAGGACCACTACTTTTCTACGATTATCGTGTGTGCTTTTTGCTAAATCCATATGACATGTAATGTATGTTTGGCGTGCTTTAATCAATATGATAGTTGAATAGTTGTGAGTTATTAAAGTGCCGTTAATGATTTAAGCCCTGTGGTTTGCTGATGGTCATTCTTTATTGAACACTATTGAATACATTTTTTAAAGGTTTTTTTAAAGGCACCGGCAGATTAATCTATGCTTTTAGACGGTGGGAAAACTATGTAGTTGCAATGGTTGCGAGCACGATTGATATGACTGGATCTATATACCATGAACGACAAGTAATTTGTTAATGTTATTATATTCTTTTCGTAAATTGTTTTTATATCGTATTTATATTGTATAGAAAACTCATCACACCATACATAATGCGAAGCAATTGTGAATGGAATATTGATGTTTAAAAATATTTTTACGTTATTTGAAAAAAGTCTTTTTACTTACTTTGTTACGTATTTATGCTATATAAAATTATAAATTGAAATGTAGGTGAAGGAGCTGTGTGCATTACATGCATTAAACAACTTGTTTCAAGAGCGTGGATTTAGCAAGCAAGAATTAGATCAAATTTGTTACAGTCTGAGTCCAGATGTGTGGATCAATCCTCATAAATCTCTATTAGGACTCGGCAACTATGATATTAATGTTATTATGGCTGCTCTTCAAAGAAGAGGACGCGAAGCTGTTTGGTTCGACAAACGTAGGTTCGTACAGTCATTGATGTTGTAAGAATATGACCATGTAAGTTACGATTGTAAACGTTTATTTATTCCTTCTGCCTTAGAGATCCAAAGTGTCTTCGTTTAGACAACATCGAGGGTTTTATACTTAATGTCCCAACTGAATACAAACTAGGTTTTGTGCTACTTCCTTTGAAACGACGTCATTGGATCGCTCTGAAAAAGATACATGGTGCCTTTTATAATCTTGATTCAAAACTGGACTCGCCGCAATTAATAGGAAAGGTTATTAAATAATATAATTAAATAGAATTTGTTAAAAAATATAAACATATTTTCATATATTTTGCAATATTAACTATATTTTTTTCTTATACCAGGACAACGATTTACTCATATATCTAAAGGATCAGATAGATAGCAAGGAAAAGGAACTATTTCTTGTTGTTACTAGAGAAATTGATAGCAATCAAGGATGGTTAATAGATACATGTGAAAATCAAGACGACAATAACATGGATCATGATTCCATTCGGTATATTGAGGATGGATACCCAGATATAGATTTGAAAAAATCTGAATCTAAAGAAATGAATGAAAATGAAGAATTTCTAGATAACAAAAATTCTAGATAATTGGGGCCACATGCACCATGTTCCACTCAATTGTGTATTTATTCATTCCCTTGTTGCTAATTTAAGGAAAGGTAATTATAATTATTGTAAGGAACTTGGAATTATATAAAAACAGAGAATACACAGAGAAAAATAAAGCAGATAATGGGAATTACACCTAATAATGTTTCACTGAGCATGTTTTGCAATGTTTTTAATCGTATTTATGTGTTAACTCAAATGTGATATTTTTATCTATTTACTTTTATTTTATTTGAGAAGAGTTATTTATATATTGTGTACATTTCGTACTATTCATGACACATGCGTAACAACGCATTTTAAGAAATAACATATGTAAGATATATATAATGTTGTATTCAAAATGAAAATATATTGCTTTATTAAAAGTTAACGTATATAAGAAAAGAACTTGTATTTAAACAACTGCTACTTATATGTGTATATCGTGATATTATTTATATGTGATAATCATATCTCTGTCGTTTTAAAAAGCTTGTATAAATAAACACACTTGTAATATGAAACTGTTATGATACATTTTAGATACAATCATAACTTTTACACAATAAATACGCTTGCAATTTCTTTTATAATGTAATTTTAATCCTGTATATATAAGGTGGTATTAAGAGTACACATTATTATTTATATTATACATATAAGAGCGTAAAATTTATTTATATCATATGGCATATATTTAAGTTATGGCTTTAAGTAAGCATCAAATAATTAGAAATTATTTATTTTTATTGTACTGCATAAATAAAGAATCAATCAGCCAATGAACATCTACACAAATATACATATATATTATACAAGTAATGATATATTGTTATAACATGTTAGATCACCACTTTATTGCAAGTGCTGTATTCATTTTCTGTATCTCGTGATACTGCGTATTGAAATATGCGTTAACTTTGTCCGTATGCTCTCCTCCTAGCCAAGTTTTATATAGGTTCTGTACCACTTTATTTTCTTCGGGTTTGCTTAATGGAAGTTTATGATACATATTTTCTAATGTCAATGCAAGTTCTCGAGGTTGAATGTTCCCGTTGGGTTTTATTTGTGCTCCGCCGTTTAAGCAACCTAATAATAATAATTATATTAAGTTTAGTTACTTGTATTGCATTCTAAAACATTTTAAGCAAAGCAATAATTACCACACGGGCATGCCATAATTTCAACATAGTCATAAACGCATTTGCTCCTTTTCATTTTCTGAACTATGTTCTGTATATTTCGGAATCCATTAATAATAGCGAACTTTAATAACACTTGATCATTTCTTTTCAATTCTGCCTCTTGAAAATCAGGATTTCTAAGATTTTTGAAATCCACTGTGACATTATCCTCGTCAAAAAGATTCTTTGCTGCGTAACGAAAAATGAAATCTGCGTAACCACCTGATCCTGAGCCACTATGACCCCACAACTTATTTCCAATTTCTTTATTGCAAGAACCGAATGGTTGTTTAATTTCACCTTCGTCTATTTCGTTTAATATTAAACCATCTTCACTTAGCATCTGTTCCAATTCAACTGAAAAATCAAAAGTTGATATTATTTATACTTAAATTTTAGTAATTTTAAATTTAATGCAGAAATATGAATAAATATACTTGATGTTATGACACAGTCTATGTCTCTCGTCTTTCTTCGTTGATTGTAAAAATCTTCTCTGGAAGCTTCCAACTTCTTATCATAGCAGGGCATTACAGTTACATGATATATCTGTTCTGGTGACAGATTCATAACTTCAGCTAAGTGGTACTTTACTAATGATCCCATAATTTGTTGAGGTGATTTTGTGACACTTATATATGGCAATATAAAATTTCCATGAGTTTTCTCAGCATAACATACCCAACCTTAGAAATAATATATTATAAATCTCATAAATTGACCAATATCTGTTTTTTTATAAATAAATATTTTACCTGGACATGAAGAAGACAACATTGGTAATTGATTTTTCATGCCCTCTTTACTGGCTTTATAACGTTCGACGAATTCTTTGGCAGCTTCTAATAAGACAAAATCGTCAGCCACTGTCATATCCAATACTGCATCAGCTCCCAATCGATAGAAAAATCCTGCCAGTTTATGGAGAGTTTGCTCAGGGGTAAGATCATAGTGTTGTGCCAGTGATAACACTGGTTGCACTGATAGACTTACTATTATATATTTAGAATCTGTGCTTCCTACATTCTACAAAAGCATAAATGATATTATATTTAAAACAACATTTAAAAAATGAAATAAATTAAAAATCTTAATAATTTTGTATATCTCATTCAAAGATAAATATTGTAGGTATAAATCTAAAGTTTACATTTATAAAAGAATCAGCAATTAGTACTGTATATTTCTATATATTACTAATTCTATAACTAATTCTATATATTATTAAATTAGAAAATTATAAAATATTTATACATTGTAGTAATACTTATTCTTTACCTGTTGAGCTACTTTCTCTTGAAATACCTTAAGCAATTCTTCTCGACTTTGTTGAGTAACGAGCACACTTTCAGCAGATGTAATGCAACCACTGCATGCTAAACAGTCTGCAAGTGTAATCTCAACTTTTTGTAATTTTTCTGGTTGTCCAATCTGTATAATAAAGCAAACTTTAATGGAAAGTTTTATGCTAGAATTATACTTTGGCAAAATGAATGTTGTAGACATTTACTTCATTGAGTGCTGAAAGGGCATTATCTGATTGTATTTTTATCTTTGCACCAGTTTTGCTTTTATTTGCTTGCATTTCTATGGGTTTAATGCATTCCTGTAATATAATTTAAAATAGTGCATGAAAATTAGATTCAATACAGAATGATATTGATCATTATACCTGCGATGGAGTGATGAAATCATCCAGATTTGTAATTTGCAACGCTCCACTGAATCTTGATGCCATTTTTTCTAAATTTTACTTTTTCCCTAGATATTTTCTGTAAACGTGCAATTTATATAAAAGAAACTTACACACAAAAAAAATCTTTTCCTTTTATAAAGACAAATATTTTCTAATTAAATAAATATTTATTTTTCAAAATCGTTAAAATGATTTATACAATTGTAGATTATTTTTTATAAATTATAGTTCATCGTGAAGCAAAAATAAACAAAGCTTGCCAGCGTTAGCTAATAAATATTAATGTCGAATTGAGATATTAACCTCTTTACTCTTGAAACATAAATAACTCACTAAATTTCAAAATTTCTGTAATTCTATATGTAAATAAAGCGTCTGTATCACAATTCGACTACGTGTTAAAACTAAAAATAATGATAAAAAAACATGCCTGTATCCAAGAAATAAGAAATATTTTCATTAAACTAATACAACACAAATGTCAATAAATGTCTTCGTGACGGATAATTTATGATGGTGACAATGTGCTCCTCTGACTCACTGACTTGCGCCTGGGACACCGCAACCGTGCCACTGTATAGAGTACTCGTGTTAGCATTGTTAGAGGCGCGATTTGCTTATAAAATTGCAATAATGACCGAAGTGAGGAAGGACGACATTGTAAAAATTTTCCACACTTATCCGTTTTGTAGAGTAAGTAAAATGCAAGCCGCATTTTATTATAATTTGTTATGTAGCTTTCGCTGTGTAAACAGATGTAAAAAATGACGTTTGATCAATACGTACGGGAAGCTTACATATCGCAAATTATTAAATTGACTTCTGATTTAAAATCAAAATTACGCGCATTTTATTTGATTTCGAATGAATATCATTTTGTTATTCAGTTTGATTTCATAATACATAAAAATTATTTTAGATATTATTATGTATTACTTAAAATTTATAT